CCACACCCTCGTGGGCTGCATTCTCTTCGATGCAGTCCTGGCAGAACCATTGCGCACTTTTAGGCATTGCTGACAGTGCGCAGAAGCTGCCATTCAGCTGGTGGCAGGGAAATCAATCGTGCCAGTCTGGTAGAACTTCTCTCCAACACTCGAAGGAAGCACTACCCAGTCATACACATTCACCAGGTCGTGCACGAGGTTCTCCTTGGCACTCGTGGTGTTCTTCCATTCCAGATGCCAGTTCCCCTTGGCAAGGCACATTCTCTCAGCTCTGGTCGTTGCATACCAGGCCGTTTCCACTATGCATTCATTCGGGCCATTCTGCGCCTCATTGATGCCCAAGGAGTGCATTCTCAGCCGCAAGCTCGACATTGGGCCACTCGAGTGCTCATCAGGATGCTAAAATCGGCATCCCGACAGTCCTCCACTCCTTGTCCCAGGAATCACAAAGGACAGTAGAGGGGCCCTTTCGTCATTCCACTCGCGGATAACGCTGTGGCTAGCCACTCGGCGGTACCATTTGAGCATGGCGAGAGAAGATGATTACCCCCTTCGCGGAAGTGAATCTTTCGCGACAAATTACCGACATCTCCAAGAATTACACGGACTCTCAGCATTCCAGCAAGTGGTCACAAAAGTACCGCCGTCTTACGACGGGCGAGGAAATTGGTTTGCCTATGAAGATGCGATCGATGACTGGTGTGACATCACTGAGTTGGACAATGACGAGAGAGGACCAGCGTTACGAAACCGTCTGGAAGGTGAAGCTGCGCTTCACAAGAGGCTTCTTGACAGAGATCGCCTGAAGGATCCAGACAACAGAGTGAAGTACTTAAAGAGCTTCCTGCGGCCGCTCTTTGTCAAGGGTGCAGCCACTGTGTTCCTCTACCGCTTCCAGCAGTTCATGAACTTGCATACGGAACCCAACAATGCCGAGGTCCGAGCATACGTGCAAGGACTGGACCTCACCAACGAGCAGGCGATGGACAGAGCCAATGCTCAGAGATCAGCATGC